AACGTTTTTAAAAAGAATTTATAAGTTAAAATTTATTTACATGTTTTTATATCTTATTTAAGTGAAAAAATAAATTAGAATAATTAACTCTTCGTGCTTCGCTATTTTTATATTTTACTCTAAATTTTTAAGCTCTTCTACCATAAATATATCAAAACAGATCAAATTTTAAAGACACATTGTTTCTTTATAATTTATTTATTTGCTTAAATATTAAAAAGAATAGAAAATTTATAAAAGTTAAAAATTAAAAAAAATGGAAATTTTATAAAAATTTCAAAATAGTAAAAAGAACTTAAATATTTTGGTTAAATAAAATGTTAAAATTTGAAAAATAAAAATTCAAAAATGATTTTTATTTAAAAAAGTAAAATATTGAATTATATTTAATATTTAAAAAAAACTAAAAAAATTCAAAGTATTGAAGTTTAAAAAATTAAAATGATTTTTAAAAAATTGAAAAAATATGATTTTTAAAAATTAAAAGATATTAAATTAATATTTTAAATATTAAAATTTCTCAAAAAATTAGAGATTTTTTTAATAAAAAATTTAAATCTGATTTTTAAAAGAGTAAAAACTATAATTTTTATTAAAAACTATACCAACATTATTAATTTTAAGATTTTATGAAATTATACTCTAGTGATTAAATTTTGAGTTTCATGTTAATACATTAATTATTTGCATAATTTAACAATTAATTTTATTCGTATAACTTAATTTCACATTAACCAAATTTACGCCTACATCATAAATCAACGGCCACGTTAATATTTTTAATTGTAAAAATTTGACAGAATTAACTATTAAACTAAAATTATCAAATGATTATCGAATTAAAATAATACAAAAACTAAATTTATATGAATTACATTAAATGAATTAAAATCCAAGATTTCGTAAAGTATTAGGCACATCTGGCATAATTGGACAAAAACATATATATGGATCTCGAGTTTGATGGAGATGAGCTAAAAAACCGTGATCAAGGGGAAAGAAATCATCCTTCATGGTATATGAATGGAACAAGCATAAATAGATATTGCTGAAGATATGTATCTTATTCCTTCTAAGTAAGAAGTAGATCATGTTAAACCAGAAAGATATAACAGATCAGAAATGTATTAATCAAAATAAAGTAATTAACAACAATGAACATCATAAGCAACTGAAATATATTAATCTTTCAGAAGCAGTTTCCTTTTTGATCTCCAAACTCAGGGAAATTAAGGGAAAAAATGGCTAAAAATTAAAGGAAAAAAAAAAAAAAGCTAAACAAAAGAATGCTTGAATTAAAAAAATCTTACCTAACCAAATGAATGGACAGTTTGCAAGTGTTTGTGTTGCTTAAGACTGAAGCTAAACACTTTTGCTTCTAAAATGGAAGTCCAAGACACCTATTTGATTGAACAATTCCTTAACAAAAAAACTTCAATCCTTTATGTTACTACCATAGAAGATTGTTTTCTGGATTAGATCAACCATATCATACATCCAAGAGTTTCTTCTCCTATGTGTTTCAATATAGACATAAAGAAAGAAAAAGAAATGTATAAAATCATGACTAATGATAGCATCTGATTGTCTATTACCTTTGTTTTGTCAAGTTATTAATCATGGCAAGTTCATGATGCTATCAGTTTAATCATAGGATCAACACCAAAATGGTATATTTTTAGGAGATAGACTTGGGTGTGACAAAAAGAGCTCCAAGTTAGAGGTAGGCTTGAACTGCAAAACCCTAATACAAGAAAAAACTACAGTTTCACTTATGATAAACATGATAGATCTGCTTTAAGCCATTTCCATACCTTACAATCATGCTCTCAAGCATAAAAAACACTTCAATATAGCTGAAACTTTAGATCAAAATATTTTTATCTTGGTTAAAAGATTATCTTGAAAGAAGCAGAAAGTAGAAAGTAAGTTTAAGGAAGTACTTCATATGTAGAAACAAGAAGAAAAGAGAGAGATCTCTTACAGAACATAGTGAAAACACACAAGTTTTTTCACTTCTTAGTTGTCTTCAATAACCTAACAAGAACAAACCATAGAAACTAAAAGCTAGAAGTACTAGATTTGCTTTGATCTAGCAAATCTTTCGGACCAAGATGCTTGATTCCCCCAAGATATTAAAAGGAAAAAGGAAGACATGGAAAGACTGGAAGAAACAGGAGAAGAGAAAAGACCCATCACTCAAAACCAGGAACGCAACTCAAAACAAGAAAAGCTATAGCTAGAAAGGCCCTTCTTTGCTTTCTTCTGGATGATCTCCTCTATCCCACTTGAAAACACATGTCCTTTGCTTAGCTTCTTCTAATCTTTTTTTTTTTTTTATTCTTTTATCCTCCTTTTTGTTTGATGAAATGATGGCATACTTTGAAGATTGTAGAAGGTTATGATCATAAAGGAAGTGGAGTGGTGTGGGAACAATGATGGCGGTGGAGAAGATAGAGAGAAAGTGGACATCATGATTGCTGTTAGCTTTATTTCTCTGGTGTTGAAAGAAAGAAAGTTCAAGGTTTTTTGTGCTCTTCTCTCTTTCTCTCTCTTTTGTCAGATGAGGGAGAGAAGAGAAAGAGAGAAATCATCAAACCTCAAGACCCCTCTTAGCCATCAAAGTGTTCAATACTGCTTGCTCTAACCCTACATTTAACTAGCTTTTATACTAGGGTTAGCAAATACTAGTTGCACTACTTTTCTGAGATCAAATTCTGTATCTAAAATGAAAGAGTACTCGAACTTTCCCAAGTATGGATAAGAACCAAACATGGTCTTTCCTTTCCTTTACCAAATGATCATTAAGATATTGTTTAATGTTATTAATTAATATATATAGGTTTGAATTTGATTTGATAATTTTAAATATGATATAATAAAAAAATATAAAATAATATAATTTAAAATTAATAAAAATTATATGTGAATTTAATAAAATAAAAAATATATTTTTTAATGTGTTAATATGAATTTTAATATAATAATTTTTATATTTTATATGTATTAAATATCAAATAAATGACCAATTATCAACCTAGTTTGAAAATTTCACTTCATCTTAATGTGAATATCCTTTTCAAAAAAAAAAAATTACATGCATGTGATTCAAGTTTCATATATATGTAGGGAACTTGCATTTTAAAATTGTATGGCTGTTGGCACCAAAAAGGAAGTCGTATGGTTGTTATAAGAGAGAAATTTATTGGTACTAATGGTAAAAAATTTAAATTTATTAAAGTAAGATTTTAATTTCGAATCTTATGAATGAAAAAAATAAATATTAAAAAATTTATTTTTTTTATAAAATTTAATTCGATTCGATTTTGAAATAATTAAAATTTAAAATAATTACAGAATATTGAAGAATCCCAGAAAAAAAAAAAAGAATTGTACTTTTATGGTTATTTGCTAGGCAATGAAGCATGATCCTCGTTGAGAAAGTGAAAGTTTATTTATTTATTTTTTGTGCAAAAGCCAAAGTCTTAAAGAGCATGCAAAATTGCAAATGCAACTATGAAATAGGTGGGTAATGTGTTTAAGGGGCAAAAGGTGTTTTTACACTGCCCAAGAATAAATATTTTCCATGGCAAGTTGAAGTTTTTTATTGGTTTTCTGAGCCAAAATCTTGACAACTGATTTTACTTGGTATCTGCCTGTCCTGCCTTCTGAATATCCATCCTTGCTTATGCATTTTGGGGTAATTTTTCATGCCCCTCGTTCAATTAAAAATGCAAGAAACCAAGAATAATCATAATGTACATCCTGTCCAATTCTCTGTTTGCTGCAGAAACTCACTTGGAAATCTATCGGTTTGGTAAAGAGCGAAAATCAGGCGGTATCCTATCAAACATCAACTTTCACTTTATACCAAACATGAATTGAATTTCGCCCTGCTACAGTGCAGATATGTTGCAGTCAATCAAAAAGTTAATACTATCTCAAGTTCACATAGCCAATGGGGGATGGAAAGCTGAAATGTGTGAGTGAATAGGTTTGATTTGAACTAGAAAGCCATGAACTTACAAATTCACATAAAACAAAGAAAGTTACTCGAAGTGCAAAGATGTGAAAAGTGAAAGTGCTAAGGGAAAATTCGCTTTGGAAAACTCTGCTATTGATATATATATTTTTTTAGCATTTGAAATTATTAAAATTTAAAATTTGATAATTAAAATTAAAAATTTTAATATTCTACTAATAATATCTGGTATTGATTTGTATACGGTTTATATATCACACATTAGCTAAAACTTTATTATCCATCTTTAAAATATAAATTTTCGCTTATTTTATGATAGTCTTGGAAATGTTAATAGGTAAGGTATGAGATAGATGATGTATTTTTCATCTTAATATCTTTATATCATACATATTTTCGTATTCATATTCAATAGATATTTTAAATCTATTATTATTTTCATCCTTATAGGTATTTAATGAGTATGTGTAATCTTTATACTTATAATTTTTTTAAAAAAATTAAAACAAAAATATATTTTCTTAATTTTTTTTTAAATTTCTCGCATATTTATGTACTTTTTTAATAAATATATTAATATATATTTTAAATAAAAATATATTAATTCTAATTAATTTAAAATAATAATATATATTATTTAATAAAAAATTTATTTACTAAATATATATAAATATAAATGTAGAGTATAAGCATGGATACAAGTTTGAGTACAAGATGAGTGCTATATTATTGGTCATCGTCCTCATACTCAATAAAAAATTTAAAATCATACTCATTTTCATTTTTTTTCCATTAACATCCTTATAATATAATACTCATTTTCATCTTTGTGACAAAAAATCAGATTTTTCATTGAATATAAGTAAAATTGACACCCCTAACAGTCAAGTAATCACATAAATAAACTGCACGCTACTAATACTAAAAAGTATACAACTTCGTGTTTTCCAGATTATGACGAAATAAGAAGGCATGGGAAAAATTCTTATATTAACCATTTTACTGTTTATGATTGCTTCATAATACATTAGCATGAACCCATAAACAATAAGAGCAACTGTGTTGTAGTTATTTACAAGATAGTTTTAATTATACACAGTTTACATTCACATACAAATATAACCATGTAAAAGAATGGCGTTTGGTATTGAGTTTCACATTTCACAGACTGATGGCAAATTTGTTCCTGTAGATGGCAACGACCAGCATCCAGGGGAAGAAAAATTAATTGGCAAACATTAAATAAGCAATTGCAATAAAGAGTAAGGTTTATTCATTATGAGAGATGATCGAACAGTACAAAGTGCATACTTGAGGAAACTTTTGGCATACAATTGTATACAGCTTTGACATTCACATTTTGTATTTGAGGTACTGATCAACTGTGAGAGGTTTAGGGCCACCAAACCAGTTAATCATAAAAATGTCTTTGATCTCCAGTTTGAAGATCTGGAAGTTATGACTCTTAGGCCACCCTGTCCATCAACCATTGCAAACTTGGTTACCAGAATAAAGAAAGGAAACGAAGTGAAAAACAATTGTTTGGACTAAGGATTACCCTTCATCTCAGGATGCTTTGTGAACAGTGCAGTTTGAGCAAATTCTGCCTCTTTAGAGTTTGCATCAAGTAGTACCAACTAAAAAACCACAAAGCACAATCAAATTAACAACTCCAGTTACAAAAACCAGCATAACTTTATCATATGAATCAGATTAACAAAAAGAACTTAATCTTTATAAATGACACAGGTGAACCAAGATCAAATAACTATAAGAAACACAGGAGTGACTGTATGTGCACATTATAGGTGACACAATAATATTTTCAAGATGGTGACTAGAGAATAAACAAAAAGCTTACTTGATTTAGCATCATACCTTTCCTGTGAGAGTGATTTTGGCACAAACAGGGCTCTCTGGGTCTGCTTTACCACAAGTTCCAAGTGGATACTCACTGATTGTGAGTGAGGATCTATGGTCCTTCAATGCATTTCTTGCTGTCGGATCAAGGGTTGTCAAATAGAAATATGGGATGCCAGAGCTTTTCTCAGGTACCCCATCACTAAAAGAGACAACATTCCTGCAGTACAAGTTAACATTCTTGTTCAGTGGGGAAAAATGCAGGACTATGAGAGAGTATCATGACATCTTCAAAAAAGCAGCTTAGAATACCTAAGGTTAGGAAACCTATCGTATCATTGTGAGTTGTAACATTGCAAATACGCAACTTAGAAGCAAATGTAAAGATAAATGTCATGAAAATTTACAGATGTAAGTATAGAACTTTAAAGCATTCCCATGCTTTCTCAATGATTGCATGACGGTGAATTGTATATGAAAGGTCCTAAAATGCTGAAAACAGTAATCCCATCTCATCAAAATCTAATCCATACCAATAAAACCAGATATTTGAAATAAGAGTCAGATTAGCTGAGATCCTTCATCTCTCTCTCATCTAATCTTGTATAGAATAAAAAAAAATTAAGGCCAAAAGCACCCAAATATCATTCACTCACATTTTAAGAAAAAATCCAACTTGGCATATAGGTATAGCCAAAGAAAGGGACAAAATGTATTGAGCTTAAACAAGAGGAATATCTTCATTTCATTAACTATAAAAAAAAGTGAGGAAAACTTACCCAAATGGTGCTCCTTCCAACTCAGTTGATATTGTACTGCAAAATTAAAATGACAAATAAGCCAAACCTACAACGCCAATGATTTCTAAGCTGTAAAAAAAATATTATAACCAATTCAATAGGAAAGGAATGATACCAAGCAACAAATGTGATCTATGGAACATACAAGCCAAGATACATAGGCAGTAAAAATTCATTGTTTACTTCAAATTTTGTATTTTTTCCCTTCATTTCCCCTAGTTTCAGCAAGCATATAATTCATCTTTGAGCAAAAAAGAAGTGAAAGCTTTATCTTTTGACAGTTGCATATCAAAATTTAACAATATCAATCAATTTGGTAATCTGATCAAAAGTTGAAGTATACAAAGAAACACAGAATCCAAATTACAATCTCAAAGCAAGAATCAGAACAACAAATTAAGAGTAGCAGAAGCCAGAGAGGAAAAAGAAGTATTACTTTAAAATCCCCCAAGAATTCTGGGACACCAACCAACGAGCATAGCCAGCAGCATCATCTCTGTCAGGTTTTGATGCTGCTAACAACCTTCCCTGAACGCAAACTTGAAAACCCAGAAAAAACAGGACCAACAAACAGAAAAAGCCTTTGTTTTTCATTTTTTTTGTTTCTCTAACTCTTTTCAGACAAAGACTATGCAAGAAGACGAAGATAAACTGGACAATATCTGTATTTATACACAAAGTTTTGGAGTTAAAGACAAGATAGTGGCAAAGGCAGCAAATTTGTCGTTTTGGTTGCGTCAGCTTTCAAGTTCTCTATCAGAAGGAGATTATGCAACTGAGCTGTTAAAAGATGGGATGTTTTAATTCTATGATGTCAAGAAGACTATATGAATCAATCTTTGTGCTCCTTATGATTGTACTTTTTGTCAAAGTGCCACCTTCGCCCAAGATGTACAAGCTTAAAAACATTTAAGACTTATAAAATTAACATTTTTAACATATGTGTGAAATATTTATAGTTCCGGGTCGAAGTATAACATTGCATATTTTGTACTGAATTGTAGCAGATTTGGCCCTAGAAACTTAAAAGAGGATTGAGCTGGATTTCAGGGTCCCAAGGAGCATGGCATTAAACACTTTAGCTGTCAATCTTTATTGTTGGCTCACATGGATATCCACCCATCCTTGGCTTCTTGCTTGTACATTCTGCATGTTCCCATGTTATTTGATTGTAAGACAAGTACTTGAGTTTTTGATTCAATGGCTGATGAAACAATAAAAAGCAAGATGAATTGGAATATGATGACTCTTTAACTTGTAGATAGCGGATAGCTTTTCTTTGTCTTGTGTATCGCATCATTCTCTTTTTAACAATTTAGGTTGGAAACTCTTACTCTAAATTGTAAACTTAAATAACGAATTTCAGTTGAAAAAGTATATTTGTACTTTCCTTCCCTTTTTTTTTTTTTTTCATTCAATACAAAAAGTCTTCCATGCATGTAACTATTGTCTAATGTTATTGTTATACTTCCATCCAACCTTAGATAAGAATCTAATTGTTGAAATTTATATAAGAGCTCAAAATTTAGTTGCTGCAAACAATTACTTGATTTGGATTTGAAAATTAGTTATATTAAGATTAAATGTGTAATTTAGCTCTGAACTATATCACTTTTCACGATTTAATATTTATAAAAAAATTTACAATTAAGTATTGAACTTTGTTTTGGTCAAAGATTTTGTCCCACACATTAATTTTATTAATGGTAAATTAATATGGTATAAAACAACCAATAATATCATAACATGTAATATATTATTATGGGTTAATATTTATTGCATCAACGTTTTGATTAATGATATTAATTTATTATGCAAAATATTTGATGGAAATAAAGTTTGAGTAAATTGTGAATTTTTTTCTATAAATATTAAATAGTTAAAAATAATATAATTCATGGACCAAATCACATATTGACCGATATATATATATATATATTTGAAGTGAGATTTGAGCTGAAATTTAGATTCTTAAGTCTTAATTCTCAAGTTGTTATAATTATACAATGCAATGCAAGTTCACATTGTGCTTGTAAGAGGCCCAACTCAAAGGCTCAACACTTCCAGCTAAATCCAAGAGCAATTGGGCTTCGTTTAAACATTAGAAACGGGTTCAATTTCCCGGTTCGGGAGACCAGATCCAGTAAACCAGGGAAGTTTCCAAAAATCCACGTTTTTCTTGCATCAAAGATCTTAAAAATACTCGAAAGAGAAAGCAAAATGCAGAAAATTTTCACAAATTCAAAGAAAGAAACCCAAAAAAGACGTATAGGATACTTAGAAAATTGTCATTACTAACGGATGGTGCTCTTCTTTTTTCTTGTATGGATTCGACTCTCATAAAAATTGAAAAAGGATAATTTCTCAGGCACCTTTATTGCTAAAAAAATTTGTCAATCATTTAGCTGACTCACTGGCTTTTTTTTATATACAAGTTGTGCGGTGGGGAGAGGTTGCGCACGAAAGTTATAAATGTTTTACAAGTGATGTTGGTGAAGTTATTTATTAAAAATGAATAAATAAAAAATTTAATAAAAAATTTAAATTAATAAATTATTAAAATTTAATGTGAAAATTAATAATACGTAAAATAATTATTAAAAATATTATTATAATTTAATATGATGAAATCTTTTAATATATTAATTTTGAATTTTAATTTTAATTTATTTATTTTTAATAAAAAATTTTATGGATTTCACCTGCAAAACTTCATGTAAATCCTTTTGGAGATGTTGCTGGCTACCTTTTTTTTTCCCTTTTCTTTTTGCACCCAATATTTCACGATGAAAACTGAAAACAAGCATCACTGTCCAGGTTTTAGTTTGCCTGCTTGTTTCTGAAGAAAAGATCACACTTGTGCGGCTAACACAGGGTTAATTTGTTTTGTCTTGAGCATGGATATTGGATATATGTAGAAAGGAAACGCCAGAAAAACCAGCAAAATACGTATAATCAAATTCCAGAAAAACCAGACAAATACTTATAATCAAATGCCACTCTAAAGCCCAAGTTCCAGTTTTCCAATTCCCTTCAGGAATGCCAAAGACTTGACTTAATCATTTTTTGTTCAAATTTTAAATAAACAATTCTAGAATTGCAGTCTATTTCCTGTAACTAATCAAATAATCAAGTCAAAATTTGGTTTCTGTCAATTCTTGGGGGTCCAAATGTCTGTTTTTTGTCCTTAACTTTTCTCATTAGAAATGTATGCGCCTACCCTTTTTTTTGTTCTCTTTCGGGCCTCTTCCATGCATGGTTTCTTCCTTGAAATGTTATCAAACTTTTGTAAACCAATATTGTAGGTTGAGAATTCGTCAACTGATGATTTTATTTAAAGCTTTTATTCTTTCCAGGAAAAAGTTTTGATAGCCTTTTCTTTACACGTTAGGAACTATAACTGTCTTCATTTGCAAGACCTCGTAAAGTCCTATTACAAACGAAGACTGACTCAAGTCTATTGTTCAGACTATTCAAGCCATATATGGCTATAAATAGGCAAATAATATGAGTTAATTTCACAACCACTGAAGAGATTTCCTCTATAGCTATTGATTAATCATAATCATGAAATCTGAAGCTATTCCATTCTTCTCATTCACCCTCCTCCTTCTCTTTCCCTTGCTGTTTCAGGTTGTTTTAGCAGACTTGAAAGACAAAAAACCATCCTCATTTGAGTTTCTCCAGCATCTGCAAGGATGTCACAAAGGAGACAAGGTTAAAGATATACATAAACTCAAAAAGTATCTCGAAAATTTTGGTTACTTGAGCTATAAGAACAAGACGCATGCCAATGATGACGATTTCGATGATTTTTTGGAGTCTGCCATCAAAACTTACCAGCTCAATTATCATTTGAAGGCAACCGGGACTTTGGATGCCAAAACAGTATCAAAGATGATGAACCCGCGATGTGCAGTAGCTGATATCATCAATGGTACTTCTAGGATGCGTTCTGGCAAGAAAAGGCACCACCCTTCAGGCTCTAAATCAGTCCATATGGTCTCTCACTATTCATTCTTTCAAGGAGAACCCAGATGGCCAGCTTCCCAGTCCCATCTCACCTATGCATTTCTTCCAGGGACCCGAGCCGATGCCATTAGCCCTGTGGCTAAAGCTTTCCAAACATGGGCCGCAAATACTCACTTCAGTTTTTCGAGGACTGAGGACTATGTCAATGCTGATATCACAGTTAGCTTTGAAAGTCTCGATCATGGAGATGGATCCCCTTTTGATGGACCTGGTGGAACCTTAGCTCATGCTTATGCACCAACTGATGGGAGATTCCACTATGATGCAGATGAACAATGGTCTGTAAGTGCAACCCCTGGTGCATTTCACTTGGAAACTCTGGCATTGCATGAAATCGGACACCTTCTTGGCTTGGGGCACAGCTCCATTGAAGGGGCCATCATGTATCCCACCTTCAGGTCCGGAGAAAGCAAGGGTTTGCACGGGGATGATATTGAAGGAATCAAGGCTTTATACAACTATTGAGGAAGCTAGAGCAAGTGAAATTTGTGAATCAATATAAAAAACAATAATGTTGCATTTTTTGTATGCTAACATCTATCAGGTTTACGGATCATATAGAAAGTACTGTCCACTAGAATAAGTCTCGTCCAACAAAAATAAAATAGAGATGAGGAGAAAAGTCTTTATATTTTCCAGTTTGGTCATAATAAAAGGAAATTAGTTCAATTGCTGATCTTATCAATCAACCTTGTATAAATTAAAAGGAAATGTTCCAGAATAAACCAAACCAACCAAAGCAAATTCGCGGCCCAAGACAGACATAAAGAATCAAGGACCTTCAAGAGAGCCAATCAAATCCTGATCATCAATTTACAAATTGAATTTGATGAGACTGACAGAAATAATTAAGCTTATCACATGCATGCGCCCATGGCTTCATTGTAAGGCATGATCTAGTTATCTTATTTATTTATTTATTTTTTTGTATAATGGTCTACAATGGTATCATAATTTGATGGTACCATATAAAGAAATTGATAGTAGATATTTTTACTTGAAAAAGTGGTTTTTACATGTTCAAATGGAGAAATTTGAAAAAAAAATAGTAATTTCTTTTTTTTACATAAATAAGAGAAGTGGTTGTAAGAATTGAGATTCAGACTGCATTCGTATTGAATGTCATCTCTTAAATTGACTGTATGAACTAAATAAATTAAATTTTGAGTATAAAAATTTATTTTCTTTTACTTATACCAAATAAAATTCAGAACAGTTTAAAACAGAGTTTTCTTCGGCTTGATAAAGATGTAGATAATTTTAGTAGCCATGACCATGATGGCTATAGAGAAAGGAAACTTCAACAAGTCCTGTTTGTTTTCCTGTCAGAGTTGATGATGTAAGTTGTCCTATGTTCAGCTGATTCATCTTGGTGGTTACCAGTAATTAACAGATTTAAATAAAGACTAGCATTTTGGCATAGCAACTTAGTAACTGAAGTTCATGTCAATCCTTTGAGTTCTCTTCTTGCTTTTCTACAAATCCTATATGACAATTTTGAAGATTTGCTTGCCTGAAAACTTTTTGTTTCTCTATTTTTAATTCCAGCAAAGGAAAACAAATTAAATGAGCATTTCATCTAGTAATTATTCAGAAAAGACAAAGAGAGTATACTCATTCATTGTTGCCTGAGTTCAAATTTGAGAGTCTGCGAAAAAATAATTTTTCATGAATTTGCCAAGTTCGGCAGATAAAATAACCCCACCGGTCTGAAAGGAGACGTTCTAAGCAAAGACTAGTAAGCGCATGCCACTTAAAAAAATGTGAATATTTATAATGACAATCAAATGGAACGCATTAATGAACTACACACGTGACATCAAGGGAAGAACTTGGCCTAGCTTCATTGAGTTAAGCTCAGGAGGTTCCCCATTGAAAAAATCCAAATCCGTTGAATTTCTTTAGCAAAATGCATTGCCCCAAGGGTAACTTGAAACTTGAAGACTGGGGTTCCAAGTCTTCCATCTTGAAAAGGAAACGTTAGACCTTTTTTTTTTTTTTGGTTTTTTGGTAGGGTAAAATGTTGAGAGTAACTTGCCCCGCGGGGTGTCACTGGTTTTTCCTTTGAAATTGAATTGAATAGAATATTCCAATAAACGTATATTATCAGTTGATAACTCGTCAAGGGATTTATGTCTATGGGAGAAATTAGCATGTTATAGCTTTTTCCTAGAGAGAAATGTGTGTGTATCTTTTTTCTTCAACTTAGAAGACCTAGTAAACTCATAATTAAAAACAAAATCTCATGGCATGGCCATGATGATGATTTCGATGAGCTCTTGCAATCTGCCCTCAAAACTTATCAGCTGAATTTCCATTTGAATTCCACTGAAACCTTGGATGCCAAAACTGTATCAAAGATGATGATGCCTCGATGTGGCTTAGCAGATATCATCAATGGTACATCTTGGATGCTTTCTGGGTTATGGCATGAAAAGCACCACCATGGAGGCTCTAAAACTATCCAGGATGTCAGGATGTCTCCCATTTTTCCTTCTTCCCTCGAAGCCCCAGATGGCCAGTTTCCAAGTCCCATCTCACCTAAGCATTTCTTCCAGGGACTCGTGCTGATGCCTTGAGCCCCGTTGCAAGTGCTTTCCAAACATGGGCCGTAAATACACACTTCAGGTTTCAAGAATTTAAAACTATAGGGATGCAGATGCTGATATCACTATCAGTTTCGAACGTCGCAATCATAGAGATCGAAGCCCTTTTGAAGGCCCTGATGGAGCCATAGCTTATGCTTTTGCACCAACTGATGGGAGATTCCACTATGATGCAGATGAAACATGGTCTGTAAGTGTTAGCCCAGGTGCTTTTCACTTGGAGACTGTTACATGGCATGAAACTGGACACTTTCTTGGCTTGGGGCACAGCTCGGTTGAGAATGCCATTATGTACCCATCCATCTCGCCCGGAAGACCCAAGGGTCTGGATCAGGACGTTGTTCAAGGAATCAGGGTTCTATATAAGAGATGAAGAGTTATGAAGTGAAAGTCTATGCATCGATATTGATCAATATTGCAATTTTAATAGTGTTGTTTTCATTTTGGTTTCGGTTATATAACAGAATGTCTAGTGCATAAGCATAAGTCTTTTTCGACAAAATAAGTTGTAGGGTGAAATAGGTAAGTCTTTGTATTTTCGTGTTTGGTTATAAATAAAGTTAGTCCTATTATTATTACTTGTTTTCTACAGTTTTCTATATTAATTTCCAAACTGATTTGGAACTTGAATCTCTGGTTATCAGCTACATTTATTCATCTTGATCAATGGACCAATACAAATTAAGAATCAATGCAGCTATAGCCTGCAAGATTAATCACAACAGTAATTGATGTATGTTAGCGGGAAAGATTAAATGAAGTTATTTAAGTGAAAATTTATATATTTTTTATTAAAAATAAATAAATAAAATTAAAATTGAAAATTCAAACCGATATATAGAAGGTTTTGCTTTACATTAGATTAGCTTCACAAAATTTAAAAAAAAATGATATAATTTTTAGATTTTTAATTTTTAATAAAAATTTTAATAAAATTTTTACTGCTGAATAAGTATTAATTAAATTTGAGTTATAAATAATAATTTTAATAATTTTTTATGTATTATTGATCTTATCATTAAAATTTATTAATTTATTAATTTGAAATTTTTATTAAAATTTTTATTGACTTGTTTTTAATAGAAAACTTAACGAATTTCATTTAAAAATTTATTTAAATCTTACTCAATTGTTAACGGGCTAAATTTTGAAAAAAAATTTAAGATTTAAAAGCAATAGATCATATTAGAAGTAATGAGTTTCATTTCTCTTTTTGCCATGTCAATACTCTGATTTTATATTTTAAACGTATGCAAAAAGACATTGAAGTTTGGAGGCCTTTAATTTTAAGTCAAACCAAAAATATTATGGCAATAGACTTTGTTATTTCCATTGATTTAAGACTACATTTGATCGAAACTAAACTCTCGTGGAAATTCTAAAGCCAATAGTGATAGAAAACCTTGCCAATGTAGAATTAAGCAAACCGAAATTTCAAAAATCTTAATAATGAAGTGCTGAAAATCTTGCCAAATGAGGTCCTGAAGTGATAAAAGGACCAAGCTAGTAAAATGAAGAATAATAATTCTTGAGTTAATTTGGTTTCAATAATATGAAATAATTAATCACTTGATTAATCTAAATCATGAAATTCATGAACTGCCTTCTTTTTACTTCTTATTAATATTTATTAATGTCTTTATTTTAAAATTCATAAAAATTTTAAAAATTTTCGTTCAAACCCATCTAAAGGTATTGTCCATTAATGCAATAATTCTAAACAATTTCAGTTGGACAAACAATACTAATTATGTGGATATACGTCTTTGGATAGAGAGAGGAATTATATATCTGAACATGTTTCTATGTTTTAATTTAATAAATGGGTTGACTACTTTTTCAGTTTATAAGTTTAGTCCTATTAGAGTAGGTCTATGAATAAAATTTTTAAATTCAAGTTTGACGAGATATTATTAAATGAATAAAACAACTTTTTTTAAATTAATTTTAATTCTAAAATATATTTAAAAATATTAATTTTTAAAATTTTTGGGTCACATGTTCATGGGTTGAGCTTTGGACAAGGATTCCCAAAAATCAACTAAGTCTAATCCAATCCAATTTGATCCATAAACGTCTTTAGCTATTCATAAATGAATTAATTGTTTGATTTTTTGTAGAAGAAAAGAAAAAACTAAAACTCAAATATATCTCAAACGAGCAACATCAATATGGTGTCACCAAAAATATGTTGGCTTAACTCTATTATGGGATTCCTTGAAGAAGTGCAGCCTCAATTGAAAATTTTCTATTCTTGATACAGAAGATCCTTAATATCCAATAATAAAATTTGTAATTTGAGTTTAATTTTAACCTTATCATCATGGGATATGACTAAACATTTAACAATAATCAAGTCACTTTTTCTCTTCACCATTTCTTAGATAAACTTGAGACATATTTGATCTTAAATTAGTTTATAGTAAGAATGATTTTGCCCTCATAAATGTCCTTTAATTCTCGATTTTGATTCATGAATGAATTTTTGGACACACCACGATGCGTGCACCATCCAACATTTTATTGTACAAAAGCAGAAACAAGATAGAAGTATCTCATTAAAAGTTTCCTTATGCTAAGGTTGTATATAGATATGTTAAATATTTTATAATCAAGTTCATATATGATTTTTTTTTATTAAACAGCAAGGAGTTTTTGAGTTTTATCCAATACATTTTTTTTGGACGAGTCCAAACAAGTTTATTTATGTTAAATTTATCGAATTCATGAAAAATTATCTTTTCATAATCTTCAAATGAATTCAAACCCATGCAAATAAAGAAAAAAAAAACATTTTATTTATCACTTGAACCAACTATCCAATGATAAATTAATGATTTTCATTAAATAAGGTTTAACAATTGCCTTGGCATATATGTGGGCAACTAAAAATGATTCATTTTAGAGGTGCATGTACTTCTTTATTCCTCTTGAGCCTTGCAAAAAAAAAAAAAAATTATGTGCATAAATTTTTTCGAATTTATAATTTCTAGATGATAACTCCAACAATGTATCAATTATTTCAAAAGTCAGTCAACGGATGATTTTTCTTTTTAAATATCTTTCCTTAGATAATAAATTCACAAATATTTTCAATATTCAAAGTTTCTTCTCTAGCAATGTTCTTGATGTTTGCATATCTAAATTAATTAAATAGTAAGGTAATTCTACTATTTTGTCTAAAAAAAAAAAAGAAAAGAAAGAAAATGGTCGAATTCTTATAATTTCATCTATATATTAATAAATTATTATATGTGAAACTATATTTTTGTAAAAAAAAAAAATCCTTAAATCACAATCTTGATACAGTGATTTTGAATAGCAGATGTATTTCAAATATGATTTAAAGAGTAGATTTTAATACATTGATGTCAAGCATATCCTGATTCATGCATGCAGATTAGAGTTTTGTACATCATAATTAAACAGAAAATTGGTTCTTCTCTTCCTTTTTTTTTTTTTTTGCCGAGGTAGTAAATATATGGTATAATGTGTGAGCATGTAGCCTTAATTAAGGGCGGTCCACTATTAATTATTTATCATCGGTATATATTTCTTAAATCAATTGTTTTTATGAAATTATAAAAATAAAAGAATCATAATCATAATTAAGTATTATTTTTGTATAAAAATTATTAAATTAAATCAAACAAACCAATTAACTAATAAATTAGTACAAAATTAAACAAATCTTGCGTGACGTCATAAAATTTTAGAATGGATTATAATTCATATAAAGAAGATAAAGACTAAAAATTTTAATTTAATAATGAATTTATATATGATTGTCACATATCCATTTAAGTAAATTGAATTATTAACAAAGAGTATAATTTAAATGCCCCTTCCCCAAACATTATATTAGTAAAATGAACACATAACAAACAAATAATTAAATCAATAAGTAAAACCTTTTTTTTTTTTTTCAATTTCAACTGTATAGGATAATAATCTTTACTCAATTGCATTTGTAATCATATTAAAACAAAATTTTTCATGAAAATTTTCAATTAATTAATTGTTAATACTACAATCAACAAGCTTAATTTCCATGAAACTGGATGGTTCCATGACATGTTACATTCAGGCATAGCTAAGCAACTCAAGGAGGCTTGTTCCCTTGTGAATAATCTTCCAACGTTAGAGATAATATAAGTTTTTTGTTGTAGTGATTAAAAATATGGATTCACCTTTCACACCTATGCATTCCATAATACCAATTCATTAGGATCAGTGTGGGATAAATAACATGTCGAATCAAAAGGGGTCCATGAACTAGAAAAATTAATCAAACCTACATAACTCACATCTAATGATCTAATGGCGTATTCTTTAATGCCCTAAATTTCTATGCATTGGCAAAAAAAAACCTAAATTCTATGCTCAATTTTGGTATAAATAGGCATGAAGGCAAGCCACAAAATACAACACCTTAAAGCAGTAATTCATCTTACTAGCTACTTCTTGCATAGCTTGCAATGGCTGCTAAACTTTCTCTTCAGGTTCTTGGAGCATTCCTTATGTTCCTTGTGCTGCAACCTTTTCTAGCTACGTCTAGGCCACTAAAACTCGAATCCCTTCAGAATCTTGAGGGTGCCCTAAAAGGAGACACTGTCATTGGACTTAATCAAGTCAAGCAATACCTCAAGGCCTTTGGCTACTATCCCAATGACATCGATCTTATTGATGATCATTTTGATGAGTCTTTAATGTCTGCTCTTGAAGCATTCCTGGAAATTTTCCATCTCAAAGTAACTGGCAAGATTGACCCTGATACAATCAAAACAATGTTGACCCCACGATGTGGTGTCCCTGATGTCATCCGTAACAGAACTTCTAGTGGCACTAAGGGAACACATGGCCATAATCATGGCATATTTCACTTAGTTGCTAACTATTCCTTTTTCCCTGGGAGCCCCATATAGAGCAGGTACGAGCTCACCTACAATTTACCACCTGATTCTTACCAGGTGGTTAATTTTCAAGTACTGCGATCCGTATTTGCCCAATGAATTCTAAAAATGGGCAGCTGTTTCTCCATTTAGGTTTCAGGAGGTATCACAAGGCAATCAAGCTGATATCGGGAATGGGTTTTATCGATATGACCATGGGGATGGTTATCCATTTGATGGGCCTGGAAACGTTTCGGCTCATGCTTTTGCACCCGAAGATGGGCTTTTTCACTATGATACAGCCGAGAATTGGAGCTCTAATCCTACTTCACCTGATCAAGTGGATTCATGAAATAGGACATAATCTCGGCCTTGATCATAGCTGGGATCAAAATGCAATCATGTATCCGACAATTCCACATGGAACTACCAAAAGGAACCTAGGCCAAGACGATATTAATGGCTTACAGGCTTTATATGGCTACTAGCATGCAAGGCCTTGCTTCAGTGAAACCTATACAGGTTTCATGACTTGAGAAGCATAATTATATCATCTTAAATAAGTGATTACCACTAGAGTTTAAAGACTAGAATAAGAAGCTATATGTAAGCGTAAAGCTTTAGTTTCCATGTAAGTTATGCATAATTTTTGAAAGAAAGTTGCTATTAGGGTTGGCAACAGGTCGAGATGAGATGTGTTTTTGCTCATTTCGAATTCGATCTGATTTTACAATCATAAAACATATATTCGACTCGACCTAATTTTTTTTATTTTTAATATCCGAACCCGACCCGAAAATCGATATTGTATAAATCGTATCCGACTTGAAATTAATAAAATATTATTTTTTAAAATATAAAATATTATTTTTTAAATATAAATATATAATTATATATAAATAAAAATTTTAAAAATAATTTTTAATATAGTATCGGATCGAATTAGATTTGCTTAAAATTTGAATCCGATCCGATCCGACCCGAAACTCAAAACTTTTTTTTAAAGAAAAATCAATTCTTATAAAATAAGATCAAATCAAAATTCATTGAACTTGAGTTAAATTACCAACCCTAGATGGTATGTCTTAGCGGTTCTCATACTATTACGTTTGAAAGCTTCGAAACTTCACTTGCATTCATATAAATGTTTTCATTATAATAATTATTTGTTTAATAATTTTAATGTATAGTTAAAGTTAAAACATGAAATTTCGAAAAGAATGTGTCAAATACGAACCTTTTGGGATATTGTTCACAGGAAAAGATCAGTTATCTTTTTTTATTTTTATGAAATCATGAAAAAAAAAAAGAGTTTAGGTTGAAAGGAAAGTTCTTCAGTTCAGAATTAAAGACAAACCGTAAATTTTAGAGAGGATTTAGTCCTTACAAATGAAAATCAGTTATCTTTGTTCGTATAATTCAACACCCAATCTCCATTTGTACAAAAAACAATTAAATTATTGTATTGTGTATATTAATAGGATTACTACTAATTGTAATTTAATCATTATAATTTGATTTTCATGTATTATTTCTTAATTTTATATTTTATGAGCTCTAAAAATCACCTTAAATTAATACTTATCTAATTATCTTCTTATTTGATTTTCATACCCAAAATTATCCAAAAAACAAAATAATTATCGTAAATTGAAAAGAAAGATGATAATGATAATAAGAATCGATAGTAATAGAATTAAAAAAAAAATCTTATTTTTATTTTTAAACTTGCTTTATCGCATAACAACATAATTAATCAAGTAAGAAATTAAAATTTTGCGAACAATCATATTATCTTTTGATGAAATTATTAATTTGTAATTCCATTGATAAAATCCTAACAGTTTCAATATCCAAAAAAAAAATTGAATGAATAAAAGTGAGGAAAAAGGTTTTGGATATTCCTCCTATATATTATATAGATTCAACGTAGTATTGGTTATAGTTGGCTGCATGGAGGGATTTACTACCAAGGGTGGGGAAATTTTGCCATAAATTCTATTAAATTCTAGTTCTTTGAATATTCCACTTAATTTGAAAAAAAATATATTAATATTCTAAAATATTTTAAAACAATGAGGGTAATTGATACAAAATAATCTCTTTATTACCAAAAGTACTAATATTATGTTAAATATTTTATTAGAAATTATAATTTTATAAATTATTCATATAAATTTTTAAATTTTACATGAGATTAAAAATTTATCAAAAATTTTTTTTAATTGAGCATTGAGTATTATCCCATCAATCACCCAACCCATGACTTTCCAAACTAAAGGGAATCAACCGAGCCCATCCAACTTGACTGACTCAACCAGGTGAGCCCCATTGGCCCCACCTCGAACCCCTCTAAATTGTAGAAAGTCTACCCAGTTGACCCAACCCAACTCATAATTCTCAACCGGCCCTCAGCAACAATACCCAACAGCACCCCGGAATGGCTGATAGCAACCACCACCACCACCACCGTCCCAACCGCCTCTCCGTCCCTCCACGCGGCACCACTCTTACGAACCCCACCACAAAAACGGCCACCCCAAGATCTTACCCTTTGTATTCCTATCCTTCCCTCGCAACCCCAACTCCAACGCCCTCAAAACACCGCCTCTCCCTCCAATCTTCCAAAGCCTCCTATTCCTCGCAGAAAAGATCCTCCTTTTCTTTCCTCCTCCTCCTCCTCCTTTCCCTCCGCTCTCTTTACTCTCTCCTCCCTTTCCTCCGCTCGTCCCCTCCTTCTTTCTCTGTTTTCCCTTTCTCTTTCCTCCTTTCCTTCCTCTCTTTCCTCCTTTCTCTCTCCTTTTCCCTCTTCTCCAAAAAACACCCCAGAAACCACCCAATTCTTTCCCTTTCCTCTCTCTCCAACTCTCAGCTCAAACTTTTACTCTCAAAGTCCTTCCTTTTATCAATTATCTTCCTTCTCAGGTTCCAGGCTCTTAGATACTGTGGTACAGCTGCTATGATCTTGGCTGAATTATCCGGAAACCTTGTTGGCAGGCTATTTTCTGACGCAAAAACTCCGAGAAAAAGGTCGTTTTTTTCGTCTCAATTCATTGGGTTTTGCTTTTTATTTATTGGGTTAATGTTATTATCTTTAAGTTGGGACAGAGTAGATTGTTTCCCTTGGAATAAGACTGGGTTTTCTATGTATCCTAGAGAAGGTTGTGTTAGAATTTGGCCAATGTTGTTGCCATTTTTATCAGGGTTTTTAGGCTGTTATGAGAAGGTTTCGATGAACTGGGGAAGCATTAGGCAGCTTGGTCGGAAAAGGGTTCGGTTGATTTCATTGTTTTTCGCTACTGTTATGCTTTTTGTTCCTGCTGTTGTTAGTTTCTTTGTTTATGAAAGTGAAGGAGGAGGAGGAGGAGGAGGAGGAAATGTTTCCATTGAGAATTTAGGTTGGCCTTTGGTGAATACTGTTGTTTTCGGAGTGCTTTTGAGTGAGAATTATAGTGATGAAGATGATAAGTTAGTGAGTTCTAAAGATTTTCAAAGGGAATTTGTGGTTACATTTGTCTGTACTGTTATTTTGGAGTTGTTTTATTTTGATGAGGTTTCCCTTTTGGGGCTGTTGTTGTGCGGTTTATTGTTGTATTTTGGTGTTCAAGAACTGAGTTCTGTTTACTCTAGTTATGTTGAATTGGGGATAGAATCTTCAGAGTCTTTTAGTATGACGATAATGAAACCTGTTCGGCATATTTTGAGTGAGCGAAAGTCTCGAAAGATCGCAATGTTCCTGTTGATTAATACTGGATATATGGTCGTAGAATTTGTTGCTGGCTTCATGAGTAACAGTCTTGGGTTGATATCAGATGCATGTCACATGTTGTTTGATTGTGCTGCATTGGCTATTGGGCTATATGCTTCATATATTTCACGGTTGCCAGCTAATAATCAGTTCAATTATGGTAGAGGCAGATTTGAGATTCTATCAGGGTATGCTAATGCTGTTTTCCTGGTTCTAGTTGGGGCATTAATTGTGTTGGAATCCCTTGAGAGGATTTTGGACCCTCAAGAGATATCAACTAACAGTCTGTTAACTGTCTCCATTGGAGGGCTTGTTGTCAATGTGGTGGGTTTGATATTCTTTCATGAGGAGCATCATCATGCACATGGAGGATCATGTTCGCATTCACATTCTCATTCCCATTCCCATTCCCACTCTCATGATCACCATCAGCATTCACAGGTTCATGAAAGTCACGTTCAGCACCATGAGTATATAAATGTTTCTGATGGACGCCACGAATCATGCTCTGGCCATGAACACCTTCATGGTAACCAACATGGTAGCAATAATTGTCATGCTGAAGATCACAAAATAAACACTGAGTGCCATGACCTCCATGACCATGCTCATAATCACACCCTTCATGGTTGTGCTCATCATCATCATGGTCACCATGATCATGGACATCAACATGATCATGCTCATAGACATGACCACCATGATTGTGCCCATCATCATGATCTCCATGACGACAGACACCAACATGGTCACAAGGATCATCATCATGATCAAGGATCAGGCTTGCACTCCCATGCTCACTATTCAGAACCTACAGGTTATTTATCGTTGGCATATGGATCCAAACAGAGGCAGCAGCTTCTATCTGATGGGAAGGGACCACAGAAGCACCAGCATCACCACATTGACCACAATATGGAAGGAATCTTCTTGCATGTTCTGGCAGACACCATGGGAAGTGTTGGAGTTGTTGTATCTACCCTCTTAATTAAGTACAAAGGATGGCTTGTTGCTGATCCTGCCTGCTCAATATTCATTTCGGTTCTAATTATATCATCTGTTATCCCATTACTTAGGAACTCTGCTGAAATTTTGCTTCAAAGAGTTCCTAGGTCTCAGGAGCAGGGTTTGAAGAAGGCCATAAGTGATGTTATGAAGATGAAGGGGGTATATTGTATTCAGAACTTTCATGCATGGAGCTTCACAAACACAGATGTTGTTGGAACAATCCAACTTCATATATCAGCAGAAACTGACAAGGCTGCTACTAAAGGACAGGTGTCACACATCTTACATGATGCTGGAATCAAGGATTTGACATTGCAAGTGGAACGCGTTGAGCAATAGTAACTTGTCTAAGGTTGCACCATTGAGAGTGGAGATTAGCCTATTCATCTTCGGGACTGAATCTTGTTAAGATCAAGGGCAGATAGCTCCAATTGATATGATGTTGAGGAGTACGGAATTATGGATTTCTCGATGCTTTCTTGGCGTACGTATATATTGGTAAGAATTGAGTTCAACATTGATGGATTTCGGCAAGCAACAAAAAACGAAAAGTGAATGTTTTGGTGCCATAATTAAAAACTTGAACCAAAATAACTTTTATTTACAATAAAAGTATATTATTAAAATGCTTTTTATTATATGGATAGTTTTATTTTACAGAGTTAGGAGAAACTAACCCTAAAAAAAAAAAGAAAAAAAGAGGAAGCGTGAATCAAGTCTAAAAATCTCTTATTAAGATAAGATTTTACTAAAAGCTCTTGAAATTTTCATATTTTGTGCAATTTTCTACAAATCCCAACCTATATTTTTGTATCTTTTCAACTTCAAAAATATTCTGATGACTTTTCGGTGATAATCCTATGAAATTGTGGGTACTAATGAAAAAGACTCTTCAAGACCTTTCTAATGACATGTGTGACATTTCAATTGGTTTAGTAATTTAAGAGAATTTAGTGTTTCAAGTTTTTAATTTTTGTGTTTCTGACAATTACATATGCCCACCTTTGCACCTCCAAAACTCCTTACTCATGTGTTCGATTTAGTTAGGTGCTTTTGATAGTTCAAAATATGAACTTTCTAGTGGTACAATTGGTTTGTTCAGATGATTTATAAGCTAAGAGAATCGAAGCTTCAAAGTAGGTTTCATGAATTTGAAAACCAAGAAATCTGGGTTGTTTGTAATAATTTGTCAAGTTTTAGCCTTCGAAACTTAGACTTTTGAAAACCATTTTTGTTGAAAGAAAATTCTAGATTGTATTATTATATCATTACTTTAAATTCATGCCTCTATTTGTCATTAAGAATTGTAGGATGTTCAAGTTTTTATGGCTAAAAATAAGCCAAGTGATCACAGAATGTGAAATTTTTAGAATTTAAAAATTCTTGTTTTTACTTATTTTAAAAATTGTTTCTAGCCAATATTTGATTTACTTAGTTATAAATTACATAAGTTTTACTTATTTTATTTTTCAATGAAGTTTTACTTATTTTAATATATTTTTATTGTTTTAATTTCATGTTATTAGTATTGTTAAATGGTTATTGAATTATATTTAGATTTACAAAAAAAAATTAATTACTATTAAATGTTAAAATTAAATATTTGTTAAAATCTATATTACTTACTAATTTTTATGTTTTAATTATTAATTTCATATTTATACTTAATTGTAGACATTTTGCTAGAGTAAAAGAGAATTTGTTTTATATGTTAAAAAATACTTCTAATAGTTTCAAATTATTGAAAATATAGTCACACAACTGAACTTGTTTAGGATGACCACGGAAGGTTTAACTTATTAAATTTATGTTTTTGGGATAAATTTTTAATTTTGAATATTTCTTGAATTATTAAAATACAAAGCAAATTGAGTGATTACTGCTTAAGTTTCAATTTAACGCATCAGGTAAGTGACTTGACATATTTTTTATTTTTATATCCCAAAAATTAACCTCAATATATTTAGAGTTAAAATATATAATATATATTATTTTGTCTATTTGTTTTATAAATCAGGTTGAGCATGCAAAAATATATATATATATATATATATATGAATTTCTTTTTATAAGTTTGAAATATTGTTTGATATTATTTTGATTTTCAAATATGATTTTCATTTTCGATCTTGGCTCAGTTAAAATTATTTTTGAGACTTATGATTCAATCATGATCCTTTGATCTTAGCTCAGTTTAGATTATTTTTCAAATTTATGATTCAATCCTGATCACTCGATCTTAGCTCAGTTTATATCGTTTTTTTGACTTGGAATTTAATCTTGGTTGTTCGATCTTGGCTCAGTCTAAATCATTTTTTAGACTTATGGTTCAATCCCAGTTGTTCAATTTTGGCTTAGTCCAAATCATTTTCTAGACTTATGGTTCAGTCTCGGTCGTTCAATCTTAGCTCGGTCCAAATCGTTTTTTAGACTTGTAGTTCAATCTTGGCTCAGTCTAGATCATTTTCTTGACTTTTGGTTCAATTTCGATCGTTTTGATCTTAGCTCAATCCAGATCATTTTATTTTCAAACCTATGATTTAGTCTCAATCACCTATTTTGATCTCGATTCAGTCCAAATCATTTTATTTTTTTGATTTATGGTTTAATCCCGATCACTTGTTTTAATTTTAGCTCAGTTCAGATAATTTTATTTCTTATTTTGTAGTTCAGTCTCAATCATTTTCCCATTTTAGGCATACTTCGATCACTTTTTAAATCTCGACTTTCAATCTTGAATAAAATAGATATCTTTTATCTTCACGTAATTTTTATTTCACAGAAACTGTGTAAAGAGGGATAACTGTAAACATCTTATTTTGTCTGAAATTTTTTCAAGACAAAAGATGGGCTTTTGATAGTAAATTGGACCTGATTGTATAGCTTTGGACCTAATAGAATTTTTTAAGTTTGCTTTAATGGGATCATTGTGAAAAAAGGAAATTTATGGATACAGATTTTGGATCAAATTTGAAAGTTCACAGTTTGATGATCTTAGGCTTAATTCGTGCAAAATCAAATCACCCGAAGTCAAGTCAAATTCATTCAGTTGATTCTTTCCAAACTAAAAGGATTCAATCCTTATAAACAGGGCAGCAATCGAGCGAGAAAAAGAAAAATGAACCCTCACCAAGTAGTCCCCATCACAATGTGATAATGGTCGTAATTACAGATTTCATATTTGTTTATCTTTCTGCTCCTACCATCTCTCAGCCGCCCTTAACCCCTCTCTAACTTCGCACCAATAAGTATTGACAACCTGTTTCAAGAAAAATCGTAAAAAGCAAGGCCATGTAAGTGCTGGTCATGGCTATATCGGTAAGCATCGTAAGCACTCGAAAGGTCTTAAAAACGTCGAAGGCATGCACCACCACAGGATCCTTTTCGATAAGTACCACTCTAGGTACTTTGGAAAAGTCAGAATGAGAAGAAAATAAATAAACAAGATAGTTTGTGATGAGGGAATCAAAGGCGCCTTTGCTATGGTGAAGTTTTTAAAACCCAACAAAATCATGATCATCCTCCAAGGTCGATACGTCAGACGAAAAGCGATGATCGTGAAATCCTTCAATGGAGGGATATGTGATCGCCCTTATAGCCACTGTTTGGTTACAAGAATAAAGAAGTATCCAAGCAATGTTATCCATAAGGACTCTGCCAAGAAAACAGCTAAGAAATCACGCGTCAAGTGCTTTATCAAGCTTGTGAATTACCAACACCTGATGCCCACGCGCTATACCCTTGACGTGGACTTGAAAGACGTGGTTACCATCAATGCTCTTCAGACAAAGAACAAGAAAGTGGCTACTTGTAAGGCTACCAGGAAGAGGTTTGAAGAGAGGTTCAAGACTGGAAAGAACAGGTGATTCTTTACCAAGCTTAGGTTTTGAGTATTTTGTTAGAGTTGTCAAAAGTTTTAAAACTTTGGATTTCAAGGATAGATTTCAATCTATTTCAATGGGATATTTCTGGGTTCTTTTGTTGTTATATGAGGTATTAACGTAAAAGCTTGTTCATTTCTATTAAAAAAATAATTAAATAAATCTTTTTAAATAAATTCATTAATCCTAACAAATTATTAGAGAATTTTTATAAATTTAAAATTTATGAAATCTACTAAACTATTAGAAAATTTCATAAATAAATTTTTAAAAAAATAAAAAAATAATTTTTATCTTACCAAACTATTAAAAGATTACTTCCTAAATTAAGTCTTATAAAACTATTAAGAGATTTAATGAACTTTTTCAAAAGAATAAATTTTTATAAATATTTTCAAATAAAATCTCACCAATTCATTAGGAGATTTGGCTCAAAGTAAATCCTACTAAACTATATTGGAAGACTTTACTAATTTTTTGAATAAAATATATTAATAAATCCAACGATAGAGTCTCTTTAAGGTGAGACACTAGTCTCCATAAATACTCTTAAGGTAAGAGAATTATCTTAAATTTTACCAAACTATTAGGATAATTTTAGGATTAATTTTTAATACTAAATATTTTGGTAAAATATAAACATATTTAAGGTTTGGATAATTTGAAATCAAACTGGTATCGTCCTTTGGATGGATGTTGTAGGGGTGCTATATCTTTCTCATGCGTAACCGTACTTCTGAACTTAAAATCTGATTTCATGGATTAGAATCTATTATTTAAAGATACCTAAGTCAATCTTAAGATTTTTTTTTTAAATGAGACAGATTTGATCAGGTGGTCAATCACACCTAAACAAAAATATTTGTGGTGACCCCTAAAAATCATATCTAACGATAGGTTCACGGATCTATACATTATGACAAATATGATTTTTTTGACCACATAGTTATACACTAAGGTAATGATTACTATAGCATCATCATGTGAGTGTTAAATTCTTTCAAGATCTTTCAAGCTAAATGAAATCATCTCATCTCTCTTTTTTTTTTCCTTTTTTATTGAGTATCTACCACCATAACCGTGCTTAAGTTAAACTTTCTTTTGGTTGAGCTAGTGCTACCTCTAGTAATCATATTAATCACCTTGATAATTGGCCTATTATTATCAATTCAAATTTCTTCTTAAATTAACTTGTCTCATCGAGCTTTTTTTCTTCCATGTTCCGATCTTCCCTTTCTACCCCGAATGGGCCCTCTTTAGTCTTGCCTGTAGTCCATTCTAGGTTGATTTTATTTTTTATCCCACAAATCTCTTCAGCTAATTTCTTTTTATCATAACTTCAATTTTATTTTTTAGGTTAATGCAATCTTGAGTGTTATGGCCTATATCTCTGTGAAAGGTATATCTTTTGATCGAATCCCTCCATGTGTTCTGTCTCAGTGGCTTTGGCCATCTAAGGTTAGGGTTTCTTTTAATTTGCATTAGAATCCTCTTTCAAGAGGTATTCAGTGTAATGTAGCTTTTTTTTCACTGGATCTTCTAGCCCTATGTCATTTTCCTCTTAAGGGAGGATCATAGAAATCATTTCTTTGCTTACCACCGATGAGAGAGAGAAGATCATAGAAATCCTTGCCTTTCTTACCACCGATGAGGGGGGATGAGCCTCTGTCACCTCAGTTAGTTTTTATTGTAATTTCAATGTTTATGTATTTATTAGCTATCAGTAAGATGTTGACAAAAGTTTGAGGTGGTTTTAACGACAAAGTTAACCTTTAAGTGCATATTTCTTTGTCCATGGGAGTCCATTTGTCCAGGGCGACTACGGTCGGTCGTCTATTTCAAAGTCTTTACCCTATACGAGTTTTACATTAAAATCATGTGATATAGACTCTTTAAATGTTTAATCCCTTCTTATGGTGGATTGACATCAAACTTAGAGTCATCTTTCTTCGCTCTTTGACTACTGAACAAACTTAGATAAGAAAGAGTGACTGAGCTCTTTGAACATCATGATTGACCTTGATTCCAAGTTATTGTACCAGGATCAAGTTGCGCCATTCTGTGTAGTAGCTAAAATCTTTACACATTATAGCCTTGTCTGCCCCTTACATCATCATGTTAGTTCTATAAAGTTCTAAATGATTGAAAGGGTCAGAAGTATCATCGTAGGTTTTCAAGGTCGATATTTTAAACATTTTGCAGGCATGGCTCTGTCAATTTCTTCGATGAAAGGCGAGGTCTCCAGGAACTTGAGCTCATCTTTAAAGGCTATTGCTTTTGTTTTTAGCCTTTTTTTCATGGCCTACATCCAAGTTTCTAAATCTCTATTCGGTTGGGGTTTGGAGTTTGTTTGTTTGAATTTTTAGGTCGTAGCTGTGTTGAATTGTGGTTGGGGTAATGGTGCATTGACGTTGTGTGCTTCTTTTTTCTAGAGGCTGAGAAAGCTTCTACTTCTTTGTAGCTAAATTGTCTGACAACGACTCCTTGGCGAGGGGTGATTAAGTCAAACACTTTCGAAACTTGGGGTGGAATTATGGTTTGTAACGTTTGCTTAAGAGCCTATATTTGTTAGGTTAGGGTTTGAAATTGTTCCATGGTTAGGCCCACCTATGGTCGGGCTAATCAGATGGAATATTGTCTATGATCGATTTTTGTTCCAACTAAGACGACTGTCTCTCCTTCCTCTAAGGTTTTCTTCCTTGGCGGTATTGCTTTATGCTCGGTTAATGAAAGAAAAGATTCGTTAGCTGACGCATTAAATGTTTTTGCTGAGCTCCAATTTTGGAGCTTACTTGGAAAGACAAAAGAGAAAGGTGATTAAAGACAAAAATAGGGTGTGTTCCCTGCGTTTACACTTTAAAGCGTAAGTAAAAAAGAGTGAAGTCAGAAAAGAAGCAAGAAAGAGAGAAAGGAAGTTACATGGAACTTGCCTTAATGGTGTCTAGACTTTTATGTTTATAAATAAGACAAAAGGGACCATCAAAAGATAATAAAAATAGTGTCAAATTGATGTGATAATAAATATGTCAGATCGATTTTACATGTTAAGTCAATACAAATGATAAAAATATTTCTATTTGTTTATTAAAGGCTTCTAAGAGAAAAAACTATTACTATATCTTTTTTATCATCAAATGTCTCAAATAGAAAAGTAATTAGATAAGTGTATGGTGACGAACAGACTCTGAAAACTTCCCCATGAAGCATCCTTATTTGCTAAAGGGATTTCAGTATTCTCTTGATTAACGCCCTTTCTGCTTTAATCATGGCTTTCCTTTATGTCTTGAATCTATGCCTTCCGGCTGTCTTGGGGAAGATTGCGGCAGTGGTATTAGTTCCGTGCTGGGTTGGTTGAAGATCTCTTTCGCTAATTGCTATTTAGCGGTAGAAAGATTCAGGGCAAGATATGGGTCTAAAATAAATAAGCATTCAGAGAGAGCACCTTGATAGAGCCCAACAGGAAAACAATGTAACTCGCAGATCGAATTGCCATGCATGTACCATCAAACCATGGCTGGTGACGGTGGATAGCTTTGGTTCCATAAATAATACTGGCGATATGGGTTTAAAATAAATAAGCATTCTCCCTGAGTTTTTTCTCATCTTACTCTTAGCAGTGACAATAATTTGAACAAGAGAGAGAATAAGTGGGAATGATAAAAATGTTTGTGGATTTGGAAAATGCTAGCAATATGAATAGTATGCAACACCTTTTATGTAATCACTTTAATAAACAAAGTGTATTGATATCTCACGAAAATATTTTCTCATCTGTTGTGTTGCTCATTTATTAAATTTTTGGTTAAAATAATTTGTCAGTGATTGATGGAACTTTGGGAAAAAAGTAGAAAAAGTGTAAAATGTGTACGGTTTTGAAACAAGAAAGATTGATGGAACTTTTTGTTTAACGAGGAACAATATGTGTACGATTTTGGAAAGAAGTAGAAAAAGTGTAAAACATAGAATAAGTGGGAACGATTAAAATGTATGTGGATTTAAAACAAAATAGAAAATTTACGTTGTTAGAAGAAGGCCATTGAAGTAATCTTATTATGAAATTTAATGATAAAAAAAATAAGTGAATATCCAAATTTAAAAAAAAAAACCAAAAAAAAAAGAGATGAATATACACTTATACAGTGCTTACAACTGAGTAACTCAAAGAAATTTGCTAAACAACAAAATAAGTGGATAAGCAAATGCAGTGACAGATCTTGATATTTAATTTTGAAAGAATTAAGTGATATTATATTGAATTTTATATTTTTTAGAATATATTTTATTATATTATTTATATATAAATATATATATGCAAGTAATATATTAACAAAATATATATTTTTTAAAGTTATAAATTTTATCGATTTTATAAATCAATTTATAAAGAAATATAATACATTAAATAAATAACTTCATTTAAAAACTATGACTCTTTCTTACAATTGTGAGTGATTTTCTTTTAAAAAAAGTTTAAGTAAATTAATTGTTAAATAATATATTTTTTATCAAAACAAGAAAAATAAACTATATAATTAAAAGAATAAAGTTTGAAACTTTAAGATTAGAAGTTAAGATTTTTTTTAACCTTATAAATAAAATGGTTTCAGTCTGACTTTTGTGTTAAAAATTACACGACAGGAAAAAAAAATCTAGATAGAGTTAAAAGTGAAGAATGATATGGAAAAGTGGACTGTAATCAATTAAAAAGCATTAAATTATGTTTTTTTTTTTTGTTACATCAAGAATAAAATTTTAGTACAAGTAAGAAAGAGACGACAGATTTGATTCGAAATTAGATCTTTAATATCTTTTTAAACACCTTTAGCTATTAGGTCAAATGTTAGTAGACATAAAATTATGTTTAATATTTGATTGAAGACCTTTAATCTTATTTAAGAAATTATAAAGTTAATTTAACTTTTATTAAATTTATTTTATTATAATTTAATTAATTTTAAAATTTTATTGATAATAATTTGTTGATA